TTTTTTGAAATTTATATGATAGGCCATGTTTAAACATTGAAAAACGCGATTTTGGGTGATTTGAAATATTTTCGTCATTTTCTGTTAAGAAATATACTTAATTTAGTAATTCAACGCAACTTGACAGCAAAAATAATCATGATGCCACTTATAAGTTTAAGTTTAACTCACTTCAAATAGCCATAACAGATTCAACTTAAAAAAAACTACAAAAAATATAAAAAAGAAATTAGGTAATGAAACAATAACTTCAGATTTAAACAAAAAAGCCATACGATATATCTACTAACGTTTTTCTTGGCATCCTCATCAAAATGTTTGCTCACAAAAAGCCTACCCACAGCATTGCCCAAATTGTCATTAACATAGCTTACACAATCCCTCCATCTCACACGCTCTTGTTTGGACCCGAATATTGCCTGTTTATATATAGTTATGTAATTAAAGATATGAAAGTGGATTTTAATTCTGAATGAAAATATTCCATAAACCATCTATCATAATTTTGACATCCTCAAAATTATATATCAAAATATATTTAAAGGATCAGTAGTAGTTGTATGCAAACAACTATCAATATTCAAAAGGAACTGAAAAATAGTTTACTTTTTTCATTATACTGTTTTCAATTAGTATTCGTGTACTCTTCTTGTAATTGCTTCTTATCTTTAAATGTAAATGCGGGCGTCACACTGTCCCGAAATTGACACAAGATGGGCATACGAATATGAAATTTTTAATTTCGTGCGAAGGTAGCCCCGAAATTGGTCGACAGTCTCTCAACAGCCGAAACAAGTACGATTTCTACAGAAGGTCACGCGATCGCAACCGAGTCACACACGATTCCTACCGAAGGTCACGCGATCGCATCCGATACACACACGAAGTCACCTCAAAGATGCAATTTCGTACCAAGTAGTTTACCAGCAGGACACGCGAAGGTCACAGGATAGGTACACGACGTCGTATTTTGAGTACGATGCCTTCGTACGTGATTACGAGGGCGTCAAGTGACCTTCACCTACAGTTGGTATACACCCCACGGCCAACCGCGGCAAATTTCAGTTGCAGATAGTATTGGGAGCTAATTAAAATACGTTTAAACTTTATTTTGACTCTTCATATTACTATCAAAAAACAATTCTATTCACACAAAAATCTACGATAATAGTTATGACTTTGACTATGGTATAGTAATCTATCCACATTTAGATGGAGACGTACCGCATACAACATATGACGGGGTATTTGCATCTCAGTAAATTAGATTTGCTAGAGCTTTTAGCAACGTGAAGGATTTTAACAAGCAAAATATTTTCATTTCTAGCAAGCTACTCAAACAGGGCTACCGCTATTATAAATTACGTAAATATTTTACAAACTTTTACAATCGTAACTTTGATTTAATCTCAAAATTCAGTAGTGATTCAAAAATGTTTTTAATGGAGATGTCATTGTAATTTTTCTGTGGCCTTTACTAAAATTATTTAACGTTTAACCAAAAGGGGTTTTGACCCTACTCTTTTAGATATACCGCATCAGTTGGTCCTTTCCTCTTTTGATTACATCTGACGGACCAACTATACCCCATGTTTAGTGTTCAACACTTACAGTTGGTCCTTTCCTCTTTGTATTACATCTGACGGACCAAGTGGGATACTCTATGATGGACAGTTCTTAATGCCATTTGGGACTGAATTGCCTTAATGTTCGTCTTCTGCCTTGCTTTTGTTACTCTGTCTTCCTTTAAAATATTGAGTACTTTTGTTATGGTCATATGGGTATTCCTTTATATGTATCTACATGATCATTTCGGTGTTTTACTTATATTACCTTTTGAAACCATAACAACTGTTATAAATTTACTTGGCGGGGATACATTTTATTTACACCGTCTCGTTTATAGAAACATGGTGGGCTAAGAGTGAGGTTTGGTGCACTATTAACCGGTTTAAACTCCCCATTAGTACTTATGCTGCTGACCGGTCCAAGGCATCGCCCCTCTGTATTCCTCAGATGCACGTCTTTGTTATTTCATACTGTTTTGGTGACACTTTTGCCGGTGTCGCTTGTTGTTTTCTCGTCTACGGTAAGTATTTTCCCTTTTGCCCCTAGTTTTAATCATTTAATAAATCAATCATTTATTTGTTTTCTTTGATTTCCTTGTCGTTTACCATTATTTCGTCTTATGTATCATTTAAGTGATAAGCCTATCCGTGCTCTACCTTGCTACCTATCCGTTTTTCTAGGGGGGGTCCTTTTGTGTTACTTGGTTCTAGTTGCTGGGTCGTGTGGGTGTTGCGTTGATCTTGTTTATCATATTTGATAAAACTTTATCATACCACCCATGGTGGGCCTGTGGGCCTCATCTAAGGTGTATTAAAAGTAGCAATGCTGCTGCCTTCTTTTTCTCGGTTGACTCATCACCAAAGCATGTAATTCTGCAGGAAATAAACTGAAAATAATTGTAAACTAATTGCAAATAATGGAAGCTTTTGATGTCTCTATAGAGATGTGCGAGAGTGACAGATGAGGAAGATGGTCTAGCCGATTATATGTCCACCATGATAAACATGCAACGCTTGAGCCATTAAAATTGCTTTCTTCGGCCTAATCGTGGTCCCATCACGATGACATCGTACCAAAATACGGTGGTGACACGACGGTATTGCGGGGGCCTCACGTAGTGGTGTTCCCTTTTTAAGACTATCGGGAATCTTCGTGTTTACGTATTGTCTTCTTGAGGCTAAAAATGCCAGATTGCACCGATGATCACACGATGAAAAGACGAAGACTACACGATTTGACAAGATGGCTTCACGACGGCCTTACGAAGGGCAAAATTGACATACGAATTCAACACGAAAATGAATCTTCGCAATGTATTCGGGCAATTTTTTGGCATGCCAAAGATTTTGGAACCGCTCACGAAGTTGCTGCCGGAGCTTGAAATATTTAGCCGGGGATCATACGATGGCAAAAGATGCCCTCACGAATGGCACGATGTTATTACGATCAGATCCGAATTTGAACATTTCCTTATTCGTGTGTCCATCTGATGCCAAATTCGGGACAGTGTGACGCCCCCTGAAGAAATTTCATCTCAGACTGACGCAAATCTGTGACTGCATTATCGTTCGAGTAGAGACTCAATTCAGTTAAATGAACTTCTAGAACTTGAATAATTGCAATAAAAAGTCGTCTAACAAATAACTGTTTTAAATGTTTTACCTTGTAATACTCCGTTCTTAATTCACGATATTTTCCGGGAAGGTTTGGAACTCGGTTCATCATGAATCGCCATATGATGTAATTGGTAAGTGTTCTGTTAGTGGAAAGTAGGTTAAAATAATTATTATCTCAAACGTGATTGCTTTTTTAAATATCATTTAATAGTTCTAGCATGTTTAAAATTCATATTTCATCTAAACATTCTTTTGAAATACTTATTGATATCTGACGTATGTTAACACATATCACCTAGAGTCTGTCCTACAGAAAATGATGTGCTAATATACGCTTTTAACAACGTGTTAAATCTAAATGCTTGATTTAAATGAAAAGTAAACACTTATTTGCAAGAACAAATATCATAGTAAATTAAATCAATAATGCTTAAATTAAGAAAACAAAACTGATCACTTTCCCTTCAATAATTGATGCTCATTGGAATGCATATTTACAAATTTTGTTCGCATGCATGCCATGCCTTAATTCCACTTTTAAAAGTTATTATAAAACAATGAAACAATTAAATTCTTAAATCTGAATATTCTTTTTCTAATCTTTAGTTTCAGTCCTTAGAGTATAAACACCCTTTGCTATTACATTTATGTCGTATCACTTAAATATTGTTGCATTTTTTCTTCAAGAAATAAAGCCAAATAAAGAAAGAAGCAAACTCACCGTTCCTCTGTTTCATCAACAAGATCAATCATTTTTTTGAGATACTCAGGGGCATACACCACGACTGTATCAGTGTCGTTTACTGTAACGTTCACTCGTATAAATATCTCGTGTAGATACTTGATCCAGTCAAACTATTGAACAATTAAATCAATGTCATCAAATCAATGTATCAAATCAATGTCATCAAATCAATGTATCAAAACAATGTTTTAAATAACATGTAATATTCATCTTGTGTGCTAGACAATTTCATTAAGACTCGACATATCCAAAGAAGGTAAGGTCGAGATTTGGCAAAACCAAAAGAGATATCCATCAATATCACAGAAAATAATGGCGATTTAAAAGACAAAATTCATTTAACTTTCACTATATGTAAGGAAAGTCTTGACAGAGATGATCCACATAGAGATCAATGAAAACAAAGGTTTGGTTTGAGCTGTGTCTGATAAGACGTCCAATATCTCTTAAGACCTAACTACAGGCTGAAGCAGTTTTCAAACTTTAACAGTTAGCTAAAAGTATTTGAATCAATTACCCTGAATGACTAAGAAAATGTAGCAACAATACGTTAAAATATTACTTAATGTTTTGACTTTAAATTTGTATGATACGTGTCGATTTACCTTTGGAATCTGATTTTGTAAATCTTTCAGGGTCATTTTGTTATAAAGCGCTTCACTATCCCTTCGGTGCTCCTGCGGAGTAGTTAGCTACAAGAAAATGTAATGGTTACTGATAACACTAATTACAACTTGTTTTGCATAGTTTGATTTGAGGAAGGTAGTGAAGATGTCATCATCACGTGCTTGAGGATCTCGCGCTCATACAACATTTGATTATATGAACATAATTATATTGTTTCACTGTATCTTCTTTTAATTCAGGTAATGGAGAAATTTGTGTTGAAATGGTGAAAGAAAAGACAAATGACATCCCCTTGTTATATATCTAACACCGGGAATTTTTGCCAACCATATCTGTTTTAACACTAAAACAAAAAAAACTTAATAATTACTGACAACTAAAGTGACAAGTATTTTATAATCTTAAATATATATAAGATATAAAATTGCTAAATACAAAAACAAAACCTTTATTTAGTTACAAATCATGGATAATACTTTAAAAAAAAAAGACTAAATCTTACATTCGCGAGTTTGATTTCAAAATTGATGACGTCACGCATGTCCTTTTTAGCTACAGCGTTAGATGCTCCAAACAGAATAGCAACATTAACAGCAAATTCTTCATAAGCTAACAAACGTGGATCTTCAAAACCTTTCATGTAATAATCTCTGGACGACATTCCTAGGTCTGTCTGGTCGAGCTGTAATAAAATTGATAAAATATCAATTAACACATCTATCAAGTCCGAAGTTTCAAGCTTAATTGATTTGAATAAGGATTTCAAAACCACAAGGCTTGTTGTAACATGCAGATATTAATGTATCAATAAACCTTATATTGTTCACATATGTATAACGTTTATGGTTTTAAGGATTTCACAACTTAATATCAACTGAGACATTGTTATCTTGAAGTACGTTATAAAGCAATCCAAATGTGTCATAAGTGACATAAAATCAATGTTTTTTATTTGTATGACACGGAACAGAACAAAACTCATTATACTTAATTAAGATAATGTATAAAATTATCATCTAATATGAATGATTACGTAATATCCTCCTTTTTTAAAAACAAATATTTGGTTAATTAGAAGACTGCAATAGTTACCTGAATTATGTAATCATCCGAATTCTTATCATCTGGGCCGACCCATTGGTCTATAAGAATTTTGTTATTATACAATCTAAGTTTGGCTAATAAGTCTATTAGATCAAACTTGTTTTTGTCCCATTCTTTATCAGCAACCGGCCAACCACCAAGATCTTCCAGTACGACAAAAGCTGGTGCCAGATCTCTATCATCTATTAAAGCTGAAATTGGAAATTATAAGACTGAAAAACATAGCACATGAATACGTTATGAATAGTCCTTTAGCAATCTTTTGAACCTTGAACGACCAATATGAATCATATCAAAGAATCTTTTAAACAATTCACGGTTGCTGAATATAAATTGCTCTCGGGAAGACTTACTTTGATATGAAGCACTTTTCCAAGATAAAATTCTTAAATACTTAGTTTTAAACAATTAAGAATTGTTATTCTAACAAAGAAAATAAAAGCTGAAGGCCGCTTTAACGCTCAAAACACACTTACTTTCATTTACACAAGAACTATATAACCGTTTCGCTTTTATTGTACTTTCACTGTCGTCGTCTGATTCTGGATGTTCAAGTAAATCTAAACAAAGAAATAAAAGATTAAGAGATATTTCCTGAAACATTTACAATGTATTTTATACCTCTTAATTTATTTTTGCTAACGCATCTGCTAACAGTATTGTCCTCGGGATGATTTTTCTACTGTTACCCACAAACCTATGTGTTATTTATATACTATAATGTACTTTCAAAGTATATCAAAAGTGATATGTAGCTGGTAATATAACATTTGGTAAAAACAAAGTTTGTTTCATTTTCGAGTTAACCTACATAGTTGGTGCATCAATTATTTACCGCCTGTTTTGAAAATCTGTTTTAAAACATTGTTCTTTTTACAAAAATTACATAAATGTTTATGTAATGGGTAAACTGTTCATCAAAATTGTTAAGACCTCCATGTTTTCTAACAATAACAAAACGTGCTCAGTTGAACCATCTTCACACCCATTTTCCTCAGCATATCTCATATAATTGATCTTTGACTTACTAGTTAATTAAATACTCCCTAGCCTTCTAATTTCGATTATCTTTAGACAATGTGTAATTTCGAGCAGATATGGGTCCAGACAGATGCAAACTTTAAGCTGGATATCTGACATGTGTCTAGACTAACACATACTTCAAGCTCAGCATCCTATATGTAACTAGACACATGTAAACATATGTCAACTTCAAGCCGAGTATGTATTTTTATTTGTCTAAATAGATTCACAGTTCAAGCTGAATATCTTTTATGTGTCTAGGCAGACGCAAACGTTAAGCTGGGTATCTTTTACATGACATATGAAGATTTAGGCTGGATATATTATTCTTTATTTATATAAAGGTTGATGCATAAGCGGACTACTATACCTTTTAGCTGTATATCTATTATGTCTCTAAGCTTTGAAAACGTGTCGTAGCTTGTTCCATCTTCTGGTATTTCGTTGAATTTATTCCATGATCCACACGCATATTCAAAGAAATCTTCACATGGATCTACCGCATTATCCATTGATTCCAATAAACGAGCGGCTGTAAAGAAATGTCTTATAGTTACAGACTTCATTGATTCGACCATAAGCTTGCTGCACTTTTACCGATTCAGTCATTTGGTATTTTGAAATTTCCCCTTAAATGATGAGTTGTTTAGTCCAGAATTGAAAGATGGACAAGTTAATTTAGGTTACTATTGACTTTCGGAAGGTTAAACTTTATCAAAATTTTGTTGGCTCTATGCTTACAGGTTTTAATGCAATTCCATGTAAATCTTACCATTCTATCTCGTATACCAGGTATTATCTTTTCGGTTTTAACACCGTCCAGCCGTTACATGTCAGAAATTTCGACTTCAACGTTGCCCTTTGAATACCAGCTTTAACACAGTACTCGGTAAGGCACAACTTATGAAAGTTACTCATATTTCACTTACTAGCTTTGACGCAGTCCTCGGCAAAGCACAATTTATAAAAGTTACTTATATTTCACTTACCAGCCTTAACGCAGTCCTCGGTAAGGCACAACTTATAAGAGTCATCTATATTTCACTTACCAGCTTTAACGCAGTCCTCGGTAAGGCACAACTTATGAGAGTCATCTATATATCGACCATCCGATTGTTCTGCTAAAAGATTTTCTGAAGATTTGTCATTGTGAGAACTACTATATCCTATACCCGTTTCTGTTATAGTTATTGTCCGTACTAGAATAATGAAACAATACAATACAAATAGTGTAAAGTCTTTTACTTAATTTTTAAATGCTTGATAACACTGTACGTTAGTTTGCGTAATTGTACGTATAATTTATTCAAGTCTACTTTCTTATTAAATTAATTTATTAGGATACGGATGTAAAATGAAAACATGAAAATGACTAATTGTGTTTGATCGACTGTGTGATAAAAAGTAGACTTGAATATAAGATTTGGAAATGTATTACATAAAAGTTAAGTTATTTTACGTATTTTATTATTTCAATCAAATAGGTTGCTTACGTAATAGTAAAAAATAGTATAAAAGTACAATTATTTGGCCCTCAAAATTATGTGTCTGTTTGAATAATGTTTATCATCTTAGTATTTTGCCAACATATAACATACTTGTTATAGAACCAAATTCTACACAATAATATCGAGTAAAATTTACTTGTTTCATTTCCAGGTCGTGTCGCCAACACGATAACGAGGGCAACAGCTATTCCTGAACATATAAAGCTTACAAAAAGTAACACCACTTCTAGATACGTCCGTCCACAACAATAAGACCGCCGAGATTTTCCACTTGGCCTGAAATCAAATTAAATGGAATCAAACTAGACTAAAGCTCTAAAACTTTTGTACCAGAAGTGAAAATTTTGGAAGTATTATAATACGTTTACATAAAAAATAAAATAAGCTAATAAGTGAAACTTTACAAAGATCTTTTACATGGAAAAAAATAGATGCACAGCTAAAATGGGAATTTAACCATAAAATATAATTATGTTAATTTGGTAAATTTCAATTGATGCTGTAAATGAGTAACATTATATCTGTATATAGCATTAGTTTTTAATACACAAAGGCTATTTGGAATCACTGACACACTGGTAGGGTTAACGGTTCACGGTTTTAGCCGGTGCTAGGGGGCGTCAGAGAATTAGCATGTTTTGATATTATCCTTCATAAGCATACCAAATTAAAGCAAATCTGCAATTTTTGTTTGGTCTTTTAAGCTCTTGCTTGCAGATATTTTCATGTCAAATGAGGTACGCTTTTTCAAGTTACTTTCTATTATTCAGAATATGCTATAAACTCGTTATCAAAACAAATTTAAACACATATCTGACCTTTCTAAAGAATTAAAGAAATATTGATTTCTCAGGCATAAAATGCCTTTAAAATGTATGCTTGAAGTAAAAGCAATGATATTTTTTTCAAAACTTCTAAAAATAGAAATTTCAGCAAACATTTTGCTTTTTAATTGTAATACTGTTGTTTGCTGAACAAACTATGCTTTAATATTGTTTACAACAAATCTAATCCTAAATACAGTCACAAAATAGATAACGACGCTGAAAGTTTTTTAAGACTTCAGGCACTAATGTATCAGAAGAAAAAATATAAGAAAATATAATAATGTATACGAATTTGATTTGCAGTACACAACAAATGAAAGACACTTTAATAGGTGAAATAAGTTTAGCATTAAAGCCAGACTGTTCTTTACGATTAATATTCCCGCAACACAATCAAAAACTGTATTCTGAAAAGCCTCTAGTATAAACTGCTAAAACTGACAAAGACAATTGTTTTTGGTCTTTGTTAATTAAGATGTGATAGCAACTTACGAAATACATGGTGTATAATGTCTATATGCAGCGTCTCTTGTAGTTTAAATCAGTTATGTAATTACATTTTACAAATTGGTTTGATATTTAACTTGAAACTTTAGTGACAGGTGAATTTAATTAGTATAACTTTACAAGAGTCTCTGCAGTTGCATTGTTCGGAACTAAAGTGATGCTTTTAAGTTAAATATGAACGACACTATATTCTGTATCAAAGACTTTAATGATTTGCGCCGCTTATACTCGTCTTAACTAAACAAATAATAAAAATCTGTAAAACCATAATATCATCGTTTGAGTGCGCCTTCTTTCACTTTTTTGCATCTTTTTAATCTGTTCATTTTTAATCAGTGATATATAGTAAAGTAAAAATGTTATATATTGCGTTACATTTGATAACAAAATTTGTGTACTATTTCGCATGAGGTGATTATATGTGGTTAAATCAACTATTTCATAACATGTGATTAAAGCTCAATGTTTAAGTTATAAAGATAAGCAACATTCTTAAATATAATTATGACGTCAAAACCAGCATGACATCAAATTAATGACATTACCACCGGGTAAAGATCATCGTTTGTTGTCTATCGGTTCAACATTCATAGGCATGTTGTAATTCATATGAGGAATTCGTTTAAATTTTCTTTTTTTCGTTTGATTAAGATCATCATGTCTTGGTACTGATTGGAAACTTAAACTATTCCGTACTTCATTAATTCGTGAATTTCCGTCCGACTTCGTCGTTCTCCGTGGCGTTCGTTATTGACGAGTTCATGCACTGAATGATAAACTGACTGAATGTTACACTAATAATTTAGTACATAATATATCTATTAATAGTAAATAACAAAAGTATAGGTTTTGCTATTTGACTCAATAATACAATAAATCGGTGGCATATTGGTTAAGGCACTGTCGCACAATTCATGTTAAAGTTTGTTCTAGTCGTTCTCCAGCGATCTTAACTTCTCAAGAATTTGAAAAAATATTTCAATATATATTTGTGTATTTCTGTTTGGCATCACAGTCAAGTCTGATAAAGGCTAAAATTAGATAAACTGAAAACTAAAAATGCATTATCACGTGCTCCGACTTTTTTTCAGAATGATAATTAACCTCGATTTTATATGTTATAAAATTCTTTTGTTTTTATATGAACGATTTCAACAACAATTTAATTGACTTCTTTATTCATTTATTTCCACATTTTTTACAACAATTATCTAAATGTCAGGTCCGTGATCGTAAGGAGAATTCTAAAACAATCGTCTTTTCCATGCCTTTGATGGCAATCTTGGCCTCAAAGCTATAAAGATATCTTTTGTGTTTCTGTCAAAAGCTATTTTATATAATTTTCTACTTTTTACCTTTAACTAACACGGAATTGTCTATGAACTTCTACTACATTTCTATGTAGGGCGATGATCATTTTACCATATGCAGATTGCGCATGCACGAGAAAATACTACTTCTAGAGAATTTTTCATAGCAAAGGAACGCGTCGTAAAAAGGTCTTTACAAGTATTAATTACAAAATCTTATTAAGATCTTATTAATGCGGCTGAAAAAAGTTTTTGTTTGGTTTTACGGCGCGCGAACACAGTTTAGGTCATATAGGACCGAAACTGGAAAGATGATTTTGCCAAACCTCGGGTGTTACAAACTTGAGGCAACACCAGGGGACAAAACCACATCATCTACTGGAGCTAAGAGATGCATAGACTCCAATTATTTTAACCCATTTAGTCACCTCTTACGATCACGCAGGTCTGAGATTCTCTTCCCTCAACCCGTATAGGGCCTAGGCAACCCCTGATCAAGAAGGGGGTGCTGGGAAACAATATCATATATTATGCGTGTAACATTTAAGTTTATATGCACAGTAAATACGGGACAAACGCATTTGATAATAAAAACATACCAAACAAATCAAAAGAATGAGCGGAAATTTTACTGGATCATACTGCGTTTTTGATCATGTAAGCAATTGATGTGTGACCCTTTACGTTGGAAAACGTTCTTTTAGAACATAGTTAAATTTTATCGCTTGTAATCCTTGTTTGTTCCAGAAAAAACACTTTTTGCAGACATAAATAATTTCTTAAATCCTTTTATTATTCAAAGGAAACATGCTTTACTCATTTAAGCTCCATAACTTATTTTAATTTAATAATAATAATAATAATAATAATAATAATAATAATAATAATAATAATAATAATAATGATGATGATGATGATGATGATGATGATGATGATGATGATGATGATAATTATAGTAATACTAATTAAAATGTTGATTTGTTGTACAGTTTACTTTTTTGATACGGTTAAAAAATGCTAAAACAGCGTGACTAGCATAATATTTTGATCGGTAGCATAGTTAATAGATACCATGCAAACGAAAAAAATGTTATAAAATTTGTGTTAGAAAAAAGAAGGATTTCTATTTAAATACCGATAAAAAGGGAATATTATGTTTTTGTGACAAATTACAAATAGAGATTAAAATACAGTTATAGAAAAAATACAAAGTCAGTATCTAGAATGCCTTGTTTTAATTACATTTATATTTTTCAATATTTGCTGCAGGTTTAACTAATATATATCTCAAGATATCTAAACAAATTATGTCATATTTTAGTCAAAGTTTAATGAAAACAGATTAAGTAAAATAAAACACCATATCCTTACTGCATTTCCTCTTTCTATTTTTCTAGAGCTCGTAAATGTAGCCCAATCAATCTAAGCAAAGTTAATAAATTGTTTAAAACTGTTCCATTAACACAATTAAAAGTTAATCCGTACACATATTTCGTAAGAAAACTGGTTAGAACATATTCGTTACTCTTGCCACATCAGTCTTTTTTATGTATTTATAATTGATACTCCGTATGTGTTTTTGTTCATCGACTTAGATTCCAATTTTTCGAGTCCATTTTGAAATTATCCACATTCTAACATTACATAACATAAACTAATAGTTCACATTTTTAATTCGAAATACACAACAAAGTAAATATTACCAATATATCAAAGGAGTTTCCTGTATATTATTTTTTCTTTCATCTAAATTAATTTACTTGTATCTCTTTTTCTACAATTTCGATCATTAAAATGTTGATGTATTTCAAATGCAAATACACGTATTATCCTTTTTGCACTTTCACTTTCATATATAATACTCATTGTACTATGAATTTTTGTATATAAAATCACTATTCAGATTTAAGCCAATAAATTATCTCGTTATGTAAATAGCCATTGAACAGTCGAGTATTTTTTCTGATGATCTTATCAAATAAGATAATTACGATATAATCTTAGAAAAATAACGTTATTAATAACACACGACCGCTAACATTCTGGTGATATTTCCAGGTAAGTTAATATAATAGAAAAAGCCTTGCAATTTTACTGTTAATACGAGAGAACTATTGATTTCTATTTATTTGGGATAATGAAGCGATAAAAGCAGTTGCTTCTTCACATGTTTGACACATGGTCAAAGTTTTCATGTATACAACACCACATCAATCTAGATTTTATAGCTTCCTCCTTCTGAAGGCACATAATGCCTGAGAATCGAATACTAATTTTACCTTTTAGAAAGGACAAGCGTGGTTTCAGAGCATGTAAGATGCTTGTTACCCACTCAAGTAGCGCTAAATGTAAAAATAAATGTCATAACAGTAGCAAAATATAAATAGTATCATGTCTTCAAAATTTTGAGAAATAAAAAAATTAAAGCATTCCTGGTGCTTTGGCCATAAAATAGAAAATGCAAATCCATGGTTTTTGTCTACGCAATACTAATGTTTGTATCCATATTTGTAGAATGTTCTTCAATTGATTTAAATTCATTACATCTTATTTTATTTTGATATAAAAAGGTTTGTCTGTTTGTGTTTTCTGTTTTATACATGTATATAAAATTCTACTATACCCTGAATCT